ACCGAGCGATACGTAATCTTTCTCAATCGCTTATTTACCTGTTTTTTTATTTATGATTCATCTCGTATTGTTATAATTTACTAATTATTTACAATAATTCGAAAAGTTCACTGAAAATAGTTTTTTTATAATTTAGATTTGGTACTTGCCAACTTTAGGTTACACGAAAGTATTGCTAGAAGTACCTAGCAGCTATGCAGAGATTCATCCGTGAGTTCCATTTCAACTTTCTTAGCACATTTGACTTTAGAACTTTGAAACCAGAGACGATTTTAGCCCGCAGTTCTTCGACTCTCGTAATCTCCTCCGCGTAAACTAGACGTTTTAAATCATCCCGTAAGTAATAGTCACGCACTTGCACTTGATGGTAAATGGTAATGCAGATTCTAGTGAACCTGGTAGCAGTTCTTTTTTTGCACTAACTGTTGTTTACATACCAAACCACGTGGCATTTCGTGAGAGACTATAGTCCATTTGTTTAGGTACTTAACTAAATGTAAACAATCTTGATACATCTTTTTATTGAAACACATGCTTTACAAATCAATAGGTATAAAAATAGCATGCAATTTCATATGAAGCTAAGCATTTGTATTTTGTATTTGAAGGTAAGGGAAAATTATTTTATAAATGTATATTTCATTAAATAGACATCTCAAGATTGTTTACATTTATTTAAGTACCTAAACAGATGGACTATAGCTAGATCAATAAAATTGCGACGAACTCGGCTATTCAACCTTACTTTTGTGCGTGCGGGAGCGCGCTAATTAGGCAGGTGCGTGCCGGTAATGCGTTTGAGAAAGAGATAGCAATACTTTCGCGGTTCCTCCGGCTGCGCTATAACTTTGGGTGGCACGTGCCGTGCAAGTTAATGACCTTTGAATCAAACAGCATCAGATGATTGCGACTCGATGTTTACAGCAATTAAATAAAAAATAAAATTTAGGACATATTTCTTTGTGATTTGGGTTCAGTTTCGGATATAGAATGACCTCTGTAAATATGGCGAGAATGCAAATTAACACATTGTATTTTACATTTCCTATTTAGTACGACAAACTTCAGATTTTAAAGATTTAATACTTTATATTTTTTATTTTAATCAAGTGTCGCTCTACTCTATGAATATAAGTGTCGATCTACAGTTTTAAATATATACTAAAGTTAATATGTATAAATTGATATGATGATACCCCATGGTATTAATAACAATGAAACTATACTCCAGCCAAACTCGATGTAGAATAAATGTAAACAAACAAAAACATATGATTTTTAGGGTTTTCACCTCAAACTGTTTTACGATTACCACAATTTCAATATTTTTGCACGAAATTCTATTAGGTCATTGATGATACTAATCTAGTAGTCGTGTCTGTGATGAATTTTGTTGAAAAGAAATTTCAAACCACTAGTAAGTGATTGGAAACCAATATAAAAATTACCAGTAACTAATTATTTATGAAACTGTTTCATCCCTAATGGTTTCTTGATTTGAAGGAAGGGTTTGCAAACATTTATGCACTTTTGTAATAAGTCTGTAAATAAAAAACACCGTTACAATCCTTATAGTATTCAAAACAATAACTGCAGTTTAATTTAGACGTATTATTGACCTTCGTATAACGTTCCACGAAACGTAGCATCTTCACTTATTGGTAACTGCCAAAAAATAAGAAATCTGCTTGAAATAAACAAAACGTGATTTAAAAATATAAAAAATATTTTATTATTATAAATGATAAGCGAATTGCTATAAAATATAGCGATGTAAATCGGCAGTAATTAATATTATTTTGAAAACATAAAATACATTTCAAACTGGTGTGGAACGGAACGCAAATTTGTAAACAAACAATGGCCGACGCCATCACTCACTTGTTTGCTTGTTTCTGTGTCAGTAATACAAGTACTTTTCTTTCCGTGCGATTCTGCTTTTTTGAGTTTTTGTTGTTATAGTTATTATTTGTTGAGTGTTTTTGTTGACTTTCTGTTATAATTTGTTACGGTTTTGTTGTTATTGTGTTACAATGAGTGACCAACCTGGACCAAGCTCGACGAAGCTTTTTTCAACGCCCATGAAGAAGCGCCAAAAGAAATCCGCTCTGAGGTCTTCCGAAAAGACTACTATAATCAACATATATAAACTCGTTGAAGATACTTGGCCAAAAGATCAATTCTGGTACAAAAAGGATTTGGCTAAGAAAACCGCGGAGACCGCCGGCGTAAGCCTTGCTACAGTCTACAAGGTACTGAAACAGTACAGAAATGAGCACCGTGTTAGCTCACCCGTTGCGCCTCCTCAAAGAGCAACGATAATTGACAAACTTTTAGATTTCGAGTTGAGTGCTATTAGGAGAAAAGTTCATGAGTTCTTTTTTAGAAATGAACTTCCCACTGTGGACAATGTTCTTATGTCAGTAAACGAAGATGATGATTTACCAAATTTCAAAAGAACAACTTTCCAAAAATTACTTAAAAAACTACAAATCAAATATTTAAAAAGATCAAGAAAAAGTGCTCTAATTGAGAAAAGAGAAATCGTAAGATGGAGGCGCAACTATTTGCAAAAAATTTCAAAAATGAGAGAAGATGGGTGGAAAATTTATTACACTGACGAAACATGGATTAATGAAGGTATGTATTTCAACAATCCGTTTACAATTTTCACAAAATTCCTAATACACCATTATAGACTCCATAGCTGAAATCAATACTGAAAGCTATATCAGTGATTTTATAAATAACTACCACAATATTCAGTACAGATTTCTTTCATCATTTACATTATTGTTTCTTATTTATTGAAGGTCATACAAAAACAAAGGTGTGGCAAGATACTACAATACATTCAACCCGTCAAGCTCACCGAGAAGGATTGTCTACAGGATTGAAGGGGCCTTCTGGAAAAGGGAAGCGGTTGATAATAGTGCACATTGGTAAGTTGTTATAGTTAATATTTTGATGGCGTATCGTCAAAATATTAATTCTTTAATTCTTACTTATGTGAAAATTAATTAACAGAGTAGCCCATTATGTGAACCAAGCATACATAATAAGACTTCCAATATCAACACTGGTTGATATAGACTTTTCAGCATTCGCTGAACCTCCATTCAGTGGTCATCAATAATCTTTCTTTTTTCTTTTAGGAAATGAAGCTGGATTTTTGGAAGGGGGTCAGCTAATTTTCGAGAGTCAGAAAGGGGAAGGCGATTACCATAAAGAAATGAACGCTAAAGTGTTTGAAGATTGGTTCAAAAAAATTATAAATTTAATTGAGCCTCACTCTGTTATAGTGATGGACAATGCTCCCTATCATTCTCGTCGACTGGAACTAATACCAAATATGCAGTGGAAAAAAGTTGATATTCAGAATTGGCTCACAAGCAAAGGTATCTCGTTCCAGGAGACATTAATAAAAAGGGAGCTTATAGACATATTAAAACCAATAAAAGAAAAATACTTGGCATATGCCACTGATACATATGCTAAAGAAAAGGATATTGAAGTGTTACGTTTGCCCCCATATCACTGTGAATTAAACCCAATTGAGATGATATGGGGGCAAGTCAAAGGCTATGTTGCAGGGAAAAATAAAACATTTAAAATGGATGAATTAAAAAGATTATTACTGGAATCAATGGATCTAATAACCCCTGCAGCATGGCAAAAGTGTATTGACCACGTTATACAAGAAGAAAAGAGAATGAGAGACCTGGATGGTATAACAGATAATGTTATTGACGAATTTATCATCCAGGTTGCAGATAGTAGTGCTAGTAGTTCATCAGCATCAGAAAGTGACACTGGATGAGATGTTTTATTTAAAGTAATATAAAATAAAATTTTACAATTTTGTTTTTTTTCATCTACCGTTACCTACTATCTAGCACAGGGTTGGGGAAACTTTTTTTCATTAGGAGCCAGAAAAAAAGAAGTTACACAAGGGATCAGAATGAAAAAAATGCATTTTGTTTTGAAATTCAAATATTTCTTTTATTATTGTGTAGTGTTCTGTAATTTTGTGTGTATGTTAATTTTGTGAACCGATATCGACGAGGCTGTAAACATATATTTCCGAGGGCCATACATTCCTACTTTAGAAGGGACGTTGGCAGGTCAATCAACTTTTTTTCTATCCCAAAATTTTTAAATAAAATTTATGAATTAGCTAACATTTCCTAATTAATAAAAAAAACTTCAATTAGTCTGTAGTCGAAATAAAATTTCTAAAAATTATTCATTTTGCCCAATTTCATAAAATATTTATAGAAAAAATTACATAAATTTTGTGTGATTGGTATTGGGAGTCAGGAGATCAAACTTCAAATAGTATTTCATCCAGAGCTAATAATAAAAAAAAAATTACTTGAAGCTTTGTTTTTTTTTACGATATAAATTATGGTGACCCAGTAGACACAAGAGAGGGAAAAATTTAAGTTTTTCATTAATATTTTGAAATATAATCCATAAACGTCGCTACACATTTCAAGATATAAAACTAGGAAATCGTAATATCAATTCAGATTAGGATTATCATGCCTCTGTTTATTTTTTTACACATTCACTACGTTGCGTGGTGTCTGTAAAAAAGTTGATTGACCTTGGCGGATATCGGATTATAGCCCTTTGCGGGCCAGAGTAGACTCGCGGGCCGTACTTTGCCCAACACTGATCTAACAGTAAGTATAAATAGATATCAAAAACTTGAAACTTATTCATCATACGTATCAATAAGTACTTTGCAAACTTCATTTAATTGGCTATGTAAGTATTACTTCTGCACAATCTCTTACCTATCTAAATTCCAATTACGCAGCAGGCTATGGGCAGAGTTAGCCTAAACTCTAAAAATAATAACGTAGAGGCCTAAAGTAAAGAGCATACCTAGACAAAAAAGGTTCTTCACACCAGCCATCATTGGTTGCCTAGCAACGCTTTGTTATTAAACATTCTACATCGAGTTTGGCTAGAGTATAAAATGATATTCATCATTGTGAAAAATATTTTCACAATGATGAATATCATGGTATTAAAAAGAAAATGATGTTCAATAAAAATAAAATATAATATATAATCAAATCCATTTAACCTTTTGACCACTTAAAGCCTCTTACATTAAATTGGCTGATGCGCCAATGAAGTCTTAAAGCTTCAATAAAACCCTTTAATTTTCAATTCAACTTTTATTTATTAAGTTGAATTGAAAATATTAAAATATTTCATTGACACTTTAAGGTATTGTTTGTGTTATTTGTATACACTATTTAAGTATGGATTCATAGTTGCATTCTATGTTCAGTTGTGTTTTTGTTTGACTTAGGAGAATTAATAATAATAATAAATTTATTTATTTCATCAACTCACAGACAAATTTTACATGGGCAATGTTGCATTTAGGTCAAGACATCTGTGGTAGATTTGTAGATTCTTCTCTCAGTGAATTCTGTCCAAATTCACCAGTCAATTTTTGAGTTAAAACGCTTGTTCCTCAACTTGACTTTGGCGAAAACATCGATTACTTTGATGGGAATGGGAGGGATAACATTTAAAAGAAAAAGAAGAAGACATCTGTGTCTGAACTAGATAATTAATTATCTGTATTTCAGATATTTCAAAAATATCATTTTTTTTTTTTTTTTTTTTTTTTTGGTTATTTGGCTTCTGCCCCACTGAGGACAATTCTGCCAGTGTCCGGGTTGAAAGATACACGGTATATTTATCAAGATTCACTCAAACGACGATGATCGGTTGCACCATCCTATGGACAAAGACAAAACACGGGGTTATTTGACTAGCTACTTTGGATGAAAAGCGTAAACACATGCTGTGCACATAGTATAAGTTATAACCGTATGTTATTTTGTTCAATATATTTAAATAGAGTAAATAGTAGAGGAGGTTTTAGGGGAGAAAGGATACTATAAAAATTCGTGGGACGAGGGATACAATCTGGAAGAAGATCGTATAAAGAGACGGGATATAATGCACAGTTAAAAAATATATGGTCAAGAGTTCCTTCTTCAAGACCGCACTCACAAAGGGAGTGATCCCTTATCCTGAGCTTAGCAAGAAAAGTGGGTCTGCAGTTATGTCCTAGGCGCAATCGGATGATAGTTGAAGTTGTTTTTTTACTGGCCTCGCGGAACTCGAAAAACCAAGGTTTCTTGGGTATTACTGGTTGAAGACCAGCATAATATTTGCCTTTTTGTCTGCTAGAAGACGACCAGTAAGTCTTCCAGTTATTGTGTAAATCAATCTTAGCCTGGGAGCGTAAGTCTTGAGAAAAACATTTATCATATATAATGGTACCAGAATGAATAGCCCATTTAGCCCATCTATCCGCTTGTTCGTTCCCAGGAATGCCAGAGTGTCCAGGAACCCAAACGAGAACAATTTGAATGCCAAGGTTAGAGCAATTGTAAAGGAGCTCTTTTGTTTTAAGATTGATTGGGTGAACATCTTTGCTACGAAAGGGGAATTTTAACAGATCGTCCAGGCAGCTACGAGAGTCTGTAAAAATTACACATTTGTCTAATTTGTGGGATTTAACATATGAAACTGCCTCATAAACAGCGATCACCTCACCCGAATATACGGACGCTTTAGAGGGAGATTTAAAAGTTAAGGAGATATTAAATGTGGGGATCCAGACGGCAGAGCCAACAAAATCATCTGTGGAGGATTTGGAAGCATCTGTAAAGATATTGAGCCAACCGTTCCATTTCTCATTAACGATTTTATTAAAAAGTATTGCAGCGTTAGGGTCATCTTTGACAATTCCTAAATTGGTAACAATGTTGGGTTTAAAAATTAGTGCATCAAAATCAATTAAAAATAATGGATTACCAGAGTATTGATTGATAGGGGGGTCGATGCGAGATTTGTTAAAGCTTTTTAAAAGGCATGGAGGGCTCTTATGTTCCCAGTATTTAGAAGTTGTAACAAGGTTCGCTAGTTGAGTCAAGGGGGCAAGTAAGGGGTGGGCAGAATTTTGTGAGATTTTGAAAAAGAAACGGTCGCATAAGTACTGACGACGGAAACATAACGGAGGATCTAAGCTCTCAACCTGCATGGCATTGATTGGAGATGATTTCATCGCTCCTAATATAACGCGAAGACATCTAGCTTGTATATTATCCCAATAGTTAACAGCGGATTTGTTACAAGGTTCTAATAAAAATGAAGCGTAATCAAAATGACTCCTTATTACAGCATTGTAGATCAATTTTTGGGTATAAGGGTGGGCTCCCCACCATACTCCACACAGAGCTCTAATAATATTAATACCCTTTTCACATTTATTTTTAATATAATTTAGGTGAGGGATTCCAGTCATGTGGGAATCAAAAAAGAAGCCTAGAAACTTAACCTTGTCGTGTACAGGGATCAGTTCATCATTTAGGAAAATTTGTATATGTGGGACACGTTTTTTTCTTGTGAATACTACTATTGAGCTTTTACTGGGTGATAGGAGAAGGCAGTGATTAGTGAGCCAATCTTGCAAGTATCTAATGGCAGTATTTAGTTGGATAGTGCATTCATCAAGAGACTCTGAGGAATAATAGAGTGCTAAATCGTCTGCATACTGTAGAATATCACAGAAGCAGTCAACAGATTTATCAAGGTCAGCAGTGTATAGACTATAAAGGATGGGGCTCAAGACAGAACCTTGTGGGAGTCCCTTCCATATCATTCTGGGGGGGAGAAGAGAACCATTGAAACGTACTGAGATGGAGCGAGACATTAGCATGTTATAAATGATGTTAATCATCCTCACTGGTAGACTCAGCTGATGCATTTTTTGCCTGAGTAGCGGGAGATGAACATTGTCATAAGCGGCTGTCACGTCCAGGAAGACACCAACAAAGTACAATCCTCTGGTGAGTGCGAGTCTGATCTCAGTAGAAAAGGTACTGAGGCTGTCAAGAGTGCCCATACCCTTACGGAATCCGAACTGCGACCTGGATAGAAGTCCTTTGCTCTCCAATATCCACTCTAATCTATTTTTGATGAGGTGTTCCAATGTTTTGCATAATACTGATGACAGCGCAATGGGTCTATATGAGGCAGGATCTCTTGGATCCTTACCTGGTTTAAGAATAGGGATAACAACTTGAAGTTTCCAGGAGTGTGGAATATCACCATTTTCAAAGACTTTATTGATAATATTAAGTAGGACAGTTTTCGAAGAATTTGAGATGTTCTTAATAAAAGAGTATGGGATACCGTCGATTCCAGGGGTAGAGTCTCTTAGGTGGTTCAAAACTGAAGACAGTTCTACGGAGGAAAATGGTTGATCCATTCTATCATTAGAGTTGGGGGAAAAGGAGGGAGGGAAACAGTCCATAGATGGGACAGAAGGAGGGGCCAATCTATTAATAAAGTCATCGATCCAAGTTGAGGGCTCATTACAGGAGAAAGTATTGGATACACGAGAGCCTGAAAACTTTTTAAAATTTTTCCAAACTAGAGAAGATTTTACACGAGGAGAGAGATTCTCGCAAAACTGAGACCAGCCAAGGCGCTTTTTTTTTGAGAAGAGCTTTTTGGATTTAGCATTGAGCTTCTGGAAGGACAAAAAGTTTTCAATGGTAGGATTATCCAAAAAAAGTTCTTCAGCACCATTGCGTTCTAGGATAGTTTCTGTACAGTCGGAGTCCCACCATGGAGGAGACGGGATGGTGTCTTTCTTAGATTTTTTAAGAGGGATAGAGAGATCAGCAGCAGAAAGCAGAATGTTAATGAAATCCTCATAGATTGCAAGGAAATTCTCATTTGTAATTAGTGGGAGTAACCTAGTTTTAACTTCCA